AGAATGACTTTCCCCCTTTGAGTCAAGGTGCAGTCATGCTTTGGAAGTCTTGACAAACAGCACATGTCAGAAGAGGGAAAATATGTTTGATATTGAGTTATTAATGCCCTTAACTTTTTCTGTAATAGTTTTTTTTCCTCCTACAATTGAGATGTGGACATAACAAGTTTAAGAAAAAGTAATGGAGGTCTTTGTGCTTGACAGAAGGGATTGCAGATCAGTGTCTCCTAGTTCACCTCAGAGGGACAGTCCAGAGTTGCTCAGAGCTTTGTAGACAAACAGCAAACAAGTTGCAAGTACAGCCCTGGTGGTACTGAGGTGTGGGCTCAGTGTGACAGTGGTAAGACAGATGGACATCAAAGCATTTAGAGTTACAGAGGATAGGCCAGTGGTGTGTTAGAGACCATCAACACAGTCTGGGTCTACAAAGATGTGCTGAGTTCTAGAGACAACGTAGGGGGTGGTAAGGAAGACAAGGCAGGGTGAGTCTGCTCAGCTTGAAATGCCTGCTCAGCACAAGTAAGTGGGCGTGTTAGGCACTTGGACATATCTATCCAACTGTGGTGGAACCAAGATTAGAGTTTTAGCTGTTGCATCTTTTTGAGACAGTCTTACTCTGCAGCCTAGACTGGCTTTGACCTGTTGATTTTCCTGTGTACTAGGATTACAGGTGTGCACCACCACACTGGGGACCAGTCTTCCCCATTCTGTGGTCTCTTAGGCAATGGAGCATTGCCTATGGGCGGACAAGTCTTATAGGGGATTGTCCCAATGTAAAAGATACTTCTAGAGAAAGGAAAGAGCTCATAACCACTTCCATCATCCAAGAGATTGGTCTCAGTTTCTCCTGTCATTTCCTCTTCATGATAGTTTATTTCCCTTGTTTTCCATCCATCTCCCTGAGTGCTGCAGTCTGTTATATGCTGCAGAGGGATTGTCAGTGCACTGTCCATCATGGCCCGATAAATATTTCATAGAGACTTTTTAGAAAGATTTATTGTATTGTTTTTTAGTTATGTTTATACATATGGGTCTGTTCACATGCGACATGCCCAAGACATTGGATCTGGAGTTACAGGTGGTTGTGACCTGTTTGATATAGGTGTCAGGAATCAAATTTGAATGTTCTGCAAGAAGAGTATATGTTCTTAATCATCAAGCCATTGCTCGCGACGCGACCCACATGTATACTTTATTTTATTTATTTATTTTTTTAACAAGTGTCAGTTGATAGTCTCTGTGACTGAGGAACTAGGAAAAAATAATAGCCCCTGTCAGGTCAAGAATATATTTAGCCTGTTTTAGTTAGTTCCCTGTTAGTTTTTCTGATTGTCCCATTTTCCTGAGCAGGACTCTGAGACCAGAAAAGGTGAGGAAGCCAAGGGCATTGTGATGAGTCCTGGTAGGGCCCGCGTCAGACCTCGGGTGTGGTTGGGACTAAGTGTTGAGTGATGAGCTTCTGTTCATATAATAGCTTCTGGTTGGGGAACATAGTATTCTGAGGTCAACTCAAAATTAAAACTGACATTCACAGAGCCCTGAGACAAGTTGTGGCAACTTCTTTGGAAATATGAGTTATTTCAAGGGGAGGCTGTTTGGGGACAATGGAAAAGGTATTTAATTTTGCCTAATACACTTTGAAAAGGGCAACGAATAAAAATGCAAATATGGAATTTACCTAAGCAAATGAGGTATAGATGGTTATTGGCATTTCTAAGACAGACAAATGGCAATTAAGTTGTTTTAGTTACTACTCCGGACACATGTCCTGTGAGTAGGGGGAGCTTTATAACTAGACAGGGGTGACCCAAGGAAGTTTCCTAGCTCTCTATTAGTCCTCAGCTGTGAACCATAACTCCCCTCTGGGCTATGCGCTTTATAGCTTCACCAGTTCTCAGCATGAGGGGACTCAGTCTAGAGTACAGGGGCCTTGAAGAGAGCACAAACTCAAGACCTAGCTATGCCCATGTTTCAGGACTGTGTATCCTGTAATTGGGTCACTGAAGCCCTGATCAGAGGCTCATGTAGGAATGGAGATAGATAGTAAATGTATCCATTTGAGAATTGGCAGGATTCTTTCACGGTTCCATGTTGCTGTTGATGTCACTGAAATAAGGAGGAATAAATGCCATAAGCTGTACTTGTATGACACAAATGTGTCAAAGAGGTTTTGATGCATAGAAATGCTATGGAGCTGCTTAATGATTTAGAGTATATTTTTATTTCTGCCCCCACACACATACACATAACACACATACATATAATACATTCTGTAAAACGGTGGGAAACTGGACACACGATGCTGGGTGGCACACTTAGACTTATCCAGAAAGCTACCACCCCTGGATACTGTAATCTTTAGAGGAATGCCATTGGGATGTTAGAATATTAGAACAGAGACATTGGGGTTTTGGGCTTTTGAACCAGAAGGGACCTCAGCTGTCATCTAGTCCAGTGGTTTTCAAACTTGATTTTTAGCAGCAGATTATTTTCTTCTTTAAAGAAATGAACGCTTAGGCAGAACCTCATTTTGTAAAACAGGTAAGAATAATCAGTGGGTTTTGCTGGCCCTTTAAATCCTGATTGGCAGGGCAAACAGTTCTTCCTTGCCTACAGAATCCCGTATGCACGTCAGGTGTCAAAGTTTGAAAACCACTGATCTAGTCCAACCCTTTCATTTTACAGATGAGCAAACTGAGGTCCAAAGAGGTTAAGTGACTTGCCCAAGGTCACACAGCTAGTCGTGGAAGAGCCAGGACTAGCTCTCAGGTCTCTTGACTTCCAGTCCCATGCTCTTTCCACTACACCACACTGCCGGTAAGGTAGGTGCTGGGTTAGCATTATGTTCATAGCGCGTCATGGTCTTCACTGCTTTCCGACTGATGTATGCTGGTAATATGTACTGAATGTCAAACTGCATTATTCAAAAATGTATAGAATATGAAAGTACACATTAGAATTGCCAACACGGACACAATAAATCAATATCTACAGTGGTTTTTTTTTTTTCCCACTTTAAAAATTCTTTAGGTAATGTCTGCGCTATATGGGGTACTTCAGTCTGATTCCAGTGATCAATATGTATGGAGTCAGTATGTTAAGTGCAGACATTGGCTTGATGGGAGCAGCATTGACATTTCTGGCTGCCATTCCCGCGGTGGCCCTGCATTGCTGTCATTTCCAATACCGGCCAAGTCTCCCGTCTCCGTCAGCTCGCGTTGGGCATGTACTCACCTCACATTAAGCTCTCCGCCCAACCCTTTGTCCTTCCCTGGCTAGTAGGTATAAACTGTCACCGGGATTCCGTGCTTCGGGAAGAGATGGGAAGGTCCTTGTAGTGTCCTGTTGCCTCTGATTATTGATTCAGTGTTCCCTCCAAGCCTCCTTTGGTATAATCAGACAAGGACGGGGTCACTGATGCCAAGAGAGAAGGAAGACAGCTCTGATGGGCTCTATAGCTGTGCATCTTCTTTGAGTTGAAAAGGCACATGGCACTCTGCAGCCTGTGTGAATCGGTAGATTCTTACATGGTGATTTTTTGGGAACGTAGATGCTACCAGTGCCTTACTTCCAGACAAACTGAGATGTGATTTCTTCCTTTCTTACTGTGTCCAGTGGGTTCATCTCCAAGAAGAGATTTATTCAACAAGAACCTATTTCTTTTTCTTTTTCTTGTTTTTTTTTTTTTTTTTTTTTTTTTTTTGGCTTTTGAAACACAATTTTATTTTTTATTTTGATGCAGTTCAGTTTACTCTTCATTTTCCTTCTTTCCTTGAAGAACCTATTTCTTTAGTCATACTTGTGTCTGCAAATCCAGGAGCAGGGGTTGGATCTGTTTTTGTTTATGAAACTCATTTCTCCTGAATGTCAAATTTGCAATAGTACATGATAAAGTTCATTTGGAGGCATTCCTGTCCTGTTTTTAGACCCTGAAACCCCAGGCAGGACACACAAACTCTCTGGGGATAAATTTATGTAAGTTTAAAATCAAGTAAGTGCAATGGCTGAGGGTAGATAATGTATATGTCTGTTTCTTGGGTTCAATCCCCAACACCACTCCCCCCTCTAAAATAAGAATAACGTGACCTAGATTTTCCTTTTAGCCCACGTATCTGTATGACTGTTGACTGATTTCTTTCTTTCATTCTTTTTTTTTTTTTTTTTTTTTTTTTTTTTTGGTTACTGAAGAAAATATTGGGGTTTCAGACTTACTTGTAGGAGTTGAGTTGTATCATTTCATCCAAGAAGATTAAGGAAATATTTTGTATCTTTGAGATCAAGCTCTGTAACTTTTAGTCACTGGTGGCCATTGAGCACCAGAACTGTGGCTACTGGAAATTTCGTTTCAGTCTTCATTTAATTTGAATTAACTTACATTTTAGTGCCATTTCCAACAATACGGCTCTCAGGTATTCTTGGGGACAAAAGTTAGATGCCTGGTGGAATAGATTGTACATATTATTCATCTCCATAGTAATGATGTGTGACTCTGATAAAATATCCCTGAAGACTAAGTCTTTTCTCTGCTTTTTTTTTTTTTTTTTTTTTTTTTTTTTTTAAAGACAGGGTTTCAGTATGTAGCCCAGGCTGACCTTGAACTTAGTCCTCCTGACTCAGCTTCTCAAGGGCTGGGATTATAGATGCGAACAAGCTTTGCAACAACTACTAGGGCAGCTTTCTGGAAACTAAGAACTTCTCTGATTAACATGTCGTCTGTAGAAGACCGAGTTTCCTCTTATTTGCAACTTAATCATATGAACTGTAGCTGCAAACATTTTTGCTAGTTGGATGACAAGTGTGGCATTTTCTGCTCCTAGCCAGATAAACATTTCAGGCTGAGCATGAGTTTTAGTGAATCCCATCAGAGCTTCTGGGAAGCTTTGTCTTGTGAGTTCCTGGCCAGTGAAGAAGTGTTCTCTTGGATATCACAAGCTCAAGTTGGAGTATCTGAACTATGTTGAATCCTGTATGAAACAAAACTCTTTTTCTTCCCTCCTCAGAACCAAAGAAAATGGCTTTGACAGAGAGCCTTTGCACTCAGAACATCCAAGCAAGCGACCATGCACTATTAGCCCAGGCCAGCGGTACAGTCCAAATAATGGCTTATCCTACCAGCCAAATGGCCTGCCTCACCCCACCCCACCTCCACCTCAGCACTACCGTTTGGATGATATGGCCATTGCCCACCACTACAGGGACTCCTACCGACACCCCAGCCACAGGGACCTCAGGGACAGAACTAGACCTATGGGTAAGACTGGAGGATCTGTTTTCTTCTTTGGGGATTGGATATTTGAAGATTTGTGCCATTACTTCTCAACTGAGTTTGAACCTGTGATCTGATAGAGCTGAACACCTCTCTTTATGAAGAAACTCTACTGATATGCGACGTCTCTTCTTTAATCACTTGGATTTCAATTAACTAATTAGTTATCTTTCAGACTGTGTCTTGTTACATAAACCAGGCTAGCCTCAAACTTGCAGTTCCTCTGCCTCCTGGGTTTTTGGGATTCTTGGCATGTACCACTATACTGGGCACCACTTGCATGCTTTAAGAGAACAGGTTAACATCTTATTTTAGGAGGAGGGCACCAAACATAGTATACAGCACCCATTCCAGTGTCAAAAGCAAGGTGGATTTTCCTTGAATTCTTTCTTAATATGAGAGATTTCATATATGATCCAGCCACAGATTTATTTTTTTTTCCACTGAAATTTTGTGTAAAAGTTGATTTTTACATTTCCTTTCTCCATACTATTTCCAGGGTATTATATGGCATGTTGTCTGTGGCCTAACTTGAGAGATGTTCCTTGAGGAATACTTTGGTACATTACTCAAAAATGCCAGGGATAAGAGTTAGTGTCAGTTTTACATCAAATATCAGAAAACAGAAGGAGTGGCTGTGGACAAATATATATTCTTTTTGCCTGTATCCATGCCTTCATTTCACAAATTAACAGAAGGTTTTAGGAGACATTATCTTGTGAAGGACAAGTGTCAACCATGTCAACATCAGGGGCAAGCTGTGACATGTAACTGTGGTTGAGGTGATGACATGAAGCGATGAGTAAGTATACTGTTCTTGGGGATATCTTTAGTTCCTAATTTTTGCTGAGTCACACTGGGGGCAGTAATCTACTGCCTTTCTTTTGGAATCTCACACATTAGGAGGCATCCTACACCGCAAAACTAGTAGTTGGAAAACTTCCCTTGTATGGGGAATTTGAAATTTGGTCAGCGGCATACAGGGGATGAAGTCTAGGTGGGAAAACAGAACTCTGGGAAGCACAGTGTACCATCTGGCCACTGCTTGAAGAACAGTGACAGTTGCTTTTGTTTTCTTCGCTGGCAGATACCTGATATGCAGAAGTTGGTATGAAATTTTCAGCTGGGTTACTAGGAAGCAGTAGTTACCATATGCCATGGCTGGTTGCCTTTCTGCTGACAGCCTTCCTCATGTATGGAAAAGCATCACGGGAGAGCGAGAGGAGAGACGGCTGAGGCTTTGGTTGTGAGATAGTTGGTAGGACTTCTGGTTCTCACAACAGCAGTTTCTACATTTACATAGCATGTCAGACAAATGGCAAAGTATATAATTTGTGATTTTTATAAGTAGCCAATCTGATATTCATCCAGGTAATATTTCTAAAGAGATTTTAGAAGTTAGCCATATTACTTCTCAGTTAGGACTGATAATTTGAGCTATATATCATATGGAGTACCAGGCTCCTTCTTTGCAAAAGTTTTACTATTTATTTATGACTTAATGCCTGAAAAATGTAAGTTCTTGTTTCTATTCTATCTCCATCCATCCATCCATCCATCTTTTTAGACAGTCTCTCAACATAGCCCTAGCCACCTTGCAACTAACTACATAAACCAGACTGGTCTCCAAGTCACAGCCATCCACGTGCCTCTGCCCCTCCCAAATGATAGGATTGAAAGTGTTCACCATCATGCCCAGCTATGACTTCTCATTTTAAAGTAGCAGTGGAGTCACCTGGCTACTGTGAAACTGGATCAAGAGATGTCCAGTTGTGGGCATAGAAATGGTCTTTTTCTCAGGCAACAAGTGGTGAAGTTTTAGTTACTGTGACCCATTGAGTAATCAGCACAGAAGTAATTATGTTTGCGTGTGCTGATTATGTTTTGATGCAGTAATATGAAATGTCCCCTGTGAATTACATCTGCAACCAATGGCTTTATGCACTTTTCTCTAGACCAGGTGTCTCACCTTTTCATTACACTAGCTTATAAAAATAGTAGCATTGATCTCTATAACTATGTGCAACTCCTTAGCCATCCCTAAAGTCTGGCAGAGTTTAATGTGTATTAATGTAAAATAAAATCTGCATGAGAAACAAATTATGGTGTTATATCAACCTGTCATTTTGAGGGCAGAAAGGGATGGTCTATAAGTGCCTCTTTCATGTAGAGACATATACTAATTAGAATAATTAAATAAAGTCATTTGGAAAGCAATGTTAGTTTATCGGTAAGCTTAAAGTTTGGGCTCCTTTATCTAGAATTTTCTGAAGCTAAGAACAAATTAAGTCTCAACATTAGTGCTAAGTATCTCATGAATGGAAAGTGTCCTCTGTTCATCATTCCCGTGTCCCCTTTTTCTTCCTTCTGTGGTTATCAGTATGATCTAAACCACGTGAGGTTGGTGACTTAAATGTGTGAAACTGACATACTGATACATGTACACTTTCATTTTCTTAATTTTTTATTCAGTTAGACCAAAAAAGGACCTCCCAACTTCAAACCCATTGAGCCAGTCCTATGTTTCCTCACCAAATACTGAGGATCAAACAAACATGTTTCTAATGTGGTTATTATTATTAATTTTTAAAGAGATGAAGCCCAGCACTGTTCCACAAATGCTAGCCTGCCATTAAGGACAAACATCCTGTGACTCATTAATTGTCATGGGTATTAAAAATGTGAATCACTATTGACTTCATGAGATGAAGCCTTGACATGTTTGAGACTTCTGTAATTCTTTATCCTTATAGGCGAATATCTAGATGCCACTGTTGTGAGTGTCCCCGTCACGTTTATATTCTTATCCCTCTCTAGTTGTTTTCTGTGACGACTAATTTTAACATTAGTGCTTTTTTCCCCCTAAAAACACACAGGCAACAAATAAGTCAACAAAAGTTACATATTTGCAAACATTTCAACTTGAAATAATCACAACAAACAGAGCAATAACTAAATATTACTTTCCCTCCCTGTCTTTTCTGTTATGCAAATCAGTAAAACATATTTGCAGTTTTCCTTTTTTACCAATAGGTGGCATTGGCAATTTTAAGTTTTGAATTGTATCTCTGAATATTTTCTAATTGGACAGAAATAATGCAAAAACATTTTGTACTTGGCATTTTTTGTGCTAAGAAAGAACTGTCATATGCTTATTTAATCCCATCAGTCATAGACACACATATGAAAGAAAACAGCCTTGTGACTCAACCTGGTTTTATCCCTCTAAATCAGCTCAGAGAAAGATTTCTAAGCACTTAATATTTCACAGTAAGTGGAACACAGTATCTCCTAAATCTCATGTCATTTGGTGCATACAGAAGGCCCTCCAATACAGGCCTTGCCAGTTCTGGTTTTCTGTTTAAAGTGGGAGCCCACTGTAGGGATTCAGATAGTAAAGTGGAAAATGATGTCATAGACTAATCACATTTCTTTGACAGATTGTAAAGGGCTTTGTTCACAGCGATTCTATAAGATGACCCCTGATCAGACCCTCCTGCCCTTTCAGTGAGAAACCTAGTCTGTGTGTTCTGTGAGCATCTTAGCTAACATTTCTTCATTAATGTCGGTGGTGAACCAGGAGTAAAGGTTGACATCTGCTATGTCAGCACTGTGAGCTGAGTTGGGTGGACTGGCCATGAGTTCTAGGTCAGTCTGGGTTAGAGTGAGGCCATGTATTAGAGCAAACAAAACTCTGTGCTCACACGGCAAAACATTTTCATATTGCCCTGTATTTGTGTGTACCCATGGATGAGGAATGTAAAGATCAGCATTAGGTCTCTTTAAATGATTCCTGTCTCAGTTATTTTTGGACAGAGGGTCTCCTACTGAACTTGATGCTCACTGGTTGGTCTAGACTGGCTGGCCAGTGAGTTCCAGAAATCCTACTCTCTCCGCCTCCCTAGGAACTGTGATTAAAGGCATGTCCTGATTTCTCATATGGGCACCGGAAATCCAAATTTAGGTTTTCTTGCTTGTACGGCAAGTACTTCATTGACTGAGCCATCTTCCCAGCTCTTGTTACCTTCTCATGATCACCACAGTGACATTAAAGAATTAAAGAACCCTAACATGATTTCCATGTTATAATTTTCAATTTCTTGCCTTGAAAATTTATAGGTTTTTTTGTTTTGTTTTATAAATGGCATGTTGATTTATTTTTTCCATAAAGACTGGAGTGTTAAGTATGGTGGTTTATGCCTACATTCCCAAAACTTTGTAGACTGAGGTAAAAAGATTGAGAGTTTAAGACCAGCCAGGTCTTCAAAGTGAGTTCTAGGCCAGCCTGCTCATCATGGTGAGACCTCATCTCTAATAAAAAACAAAACAACTAAAAGGAGAAGATCTCATTTCTTCTGACTTTTTATATTTTTGTAAGTTGAATGGTGATTTGTAGCTTTCCTATTATCCCAGCTTTTGTTTATGAACCTAGTTAAATATGTATAATAAGATTGTATTCATGTATAATTGTGCTAAAATGTGAAATTTTACAATATTCTTTTGGAAAAAAATAGCTCAACCCACTTAAAATATGTCACACTCTCCTTATTTTAATGCATTATAGCCACATTTGATACTGGATTGATTGACTGACTGATTGGTTGATTGAATCGATTGTTGGGAATTGAACCCAGGGCCTCACAATGCCAAGAATAGCCTCTAACTGCATCCTTCCTTATTACTGCAAATACAAGATTTCTTGTATTCATCAGAGGTCGGGAATGCTATGTGGATAACCAGCTGTCACCTGTGAGGGCTACTATCAACATCTTCACTTCTTGTAGTTGATGCTGTGTGCTGATTAGATATTGACTGTGTGATGGAAGCTTTGGAGGGATTAAGCCTTCTTCTTTACATTTGTAGGGTTACATGGCACACGTCAAGAAGAAATGATTGACCACAGACTAACAGATAGAGAATGGGCAGAAGAATGGAAACATCTTGATCATGTAAGCATCAGTAATCTCTTGAGCTAATACTGTTTTGTGAACAAGCGAGGTGAGCTTTTGTGAGTTTGACAGCACTGCGTATTCTGTTCTTGGGAAAAGATGAGTGTGGATATTTGAAGGAGTGAAAGTGAATATTTGAAGTGGAACATAAGATCTGATTTCTAAATTGATTCGAAAGCTACCTAAGAGAAATATTAGATCTTGGAAGACCACAGATCAGCAGGCCACTGCTTTATTGTGAAGGGGCCACTTAGTTTATAGCTTAGTGAGCTCTGTATCTGGAACGATAGATTCACTATTAGGCAAGTAGCTATCTGTCATGACTCCATCCATACCTCCTACTTTTCTCCTTCCTCATTTCTGTTCAGTTTGATCAATTATTATCTGATTTTCAAAGCTTTCCATCAAAGTTGTACACTAAGGCCTCCAGGAAGAAAACAGTATGTTTCATTGGCCTGAAACAGTGTGTTTCATTACTCAGCTATTATTTTTAAGCGTGTGTAACCTTCCTTCCCTCCTGTTCCTCACGTAGCTGTTAAACTGTATAATGGACATGGTAGAAAAGACGAGACGATCCCTCACGGTACTCAGACGCTGTCAGGAAGCAGACCGGGAGGAACTGAATTACTGGATCCGGCGCTACAGTGATGCTGAGGACTTAAAAAAGGGCGGCACCAGTAGCAGCAGCCACTCCAGGCAACAGAGTCCCGTCAACCCAGACCCAGTTGCATTAGGTACCTTTGTTTTGTTTTTTGATTGAGCCCCTCCAATGCCCATTTCATAGTCCAGTCATAACGCCACTGTAAGTTTTAAATGCGTGTCTCTGAAATCAAGGAGTGCCGAGGGAACTTAAGGACAGTAAACATTTTCTGTAGGCTTGACATCAATCTCTTGACATTCATGTCTTCACGTACTAGTTTGTTAAGAAATCGTGTGAACATGCCAACTTTTTCCAGGTAAACACACCGAGCTTACGGTAGTGTTTCAGAGCTGAACCAGCTGTGTCTTCCTTCGGTAGGTAGCTGTGAGGACTGCCTCAATCCTGTTAACACACAAGCTCAGCCGTGTGTCTGGGGTGCCAACATCTCTAACAAGGTTTCTATGGGATTCTTTAAAAGAATATACTTTTGAAATAGTGTGTGTGTGTGTGTGTGTGTGTGTGTGTGTGTCTGCGTGTCCGCATTCATTCATGAATACGAGTACAGTGCTCGCGGAGGTCAAAAGAGCATGTCAGATCCTTTGGAACTGGAGTTCTTGGTGGTTGCAAGTTACATGATAGGGATGCTGAACTCAGAGCCTCTTAACTACTGAGCTATCTCTTCAGCATCTTTTATAAGTTTTCATTAAGGTCCAGTCTGGAAGACAGTCTTGTTCTGTTGCTATGTGTCATCAAACAAACAGAAGTCAGCTCTTCCCAAATCCCTTCTGGATGGGAGACAAGAATGTAGTACAGTGTGCTTATGCCACATGAAAGCTAATGATTAAAAAGGTAGCACTCCCATTATTTATCTTCATTTACATTGTTTACTCTTGATTTTATTACTTATAGTTATATAATGGGACTGTGTTTTGACTACCTGAAACTATATTTAGTCTTGATATTTGTAGATTGTCAGGATAAAAAATAGAATATAATCCCAAAGACAGTAAAAGATAAATTCAGGCTGAAAGCATCTCAGGTGGCCTGAGAACTTGTGTGGTATTTGACTAAACATAGTGGAGAGATGGACTTGTATGGACCCTCATTCTGTCATAGTCTTGTTTACCTCATACCCACCCACTAACTGGGTTTTGAATACAGTCCTTGCTGGAAAATAAAATGAATATCTCACATAGAGAACAAACCAGGAACTTTGAATCCTTAGCACATATTTTCCTGGCTATTGATTTTACATTATTCCTTTTAAAAATAAAATTATTCTCAGCAAATACAGTTTCCTTTGCACTTAGATTTGTGGATTTCGGCAAACCCTTGAAGACTGAGCACTCATTACCATAGTAAACATTAAATAAAGAAGGACTCTTAGCTCCATAATTTACCCAATAGGCATTATTCTGAAGAGTTCACAGGCAACACAGTTTTATTTGTCAGGTTGCATTAAGGCTTGTAATGAAAACAGAATTAAGTCTGATTCGAACTAGTATTGGTCTAAACAAAACTACGTGTAGCCGAGTACAATAAGCATCTTGTTTTTATTTTCTTATTGTGAGCGAAAAGTGGTTGATGTGGCAGATTTGCTAAGAAACAAAAGGGAATATTTGTAACCATTGAACATAGGGAAAATTGAGAGCCCTAAAGTAAATAAGCCTACAGGAACAGAATCATACAGTGTTGCTGGCTCTGTGGAGCATGTTCATTGGGTCAGCCCTTAAACCTTATGCGCTTATCGTGTTCGAGGCACTATAAGGAAGATTCTTCATTCTGGCCTTGAGGAACGATAGACAAAGATATGGCTGAGGGCACGAACTTGGCTCTGCAGTGCTAAGAAGTTCCAGAAACTCACTGGGCTTCATCCCTAAACAAGATAGTAAATACTCAGCCACAGATGTGGTCTGCACAAACTCTAACAGAAGTTAGTGAATGGTCACATCCTCCCGAAAAACAGTCTCATGTCTCTGATATAAAACCAATATAATTTAAAAAAAAAAAAACTGTTACATAGGTATACACAGATTACTTCCTTTAGTGATTCCTGGTGAATTCATAGTTTTGATCAAGCTAAGATGTTGCTCTGGCTTTAAGCGTTTGTAGATAATAGTCTTCAAAGACTACCGCTAACATTTTGCATTTCACTGTTTGGACTATTAAAAGACTCGTGTCCTTTTTAGACACAGAACCTTAGACTGCCAACTTCAAAGGCATTGTCAAAATTGTTAAGAACTATGCAGTTCCCAGGTTTTAACAGCTAGTGATTATTTTTCTTGTGTGTCTTTGCTGCTTGATTTGTGAAGCCCTTAAATTCCATTTTTCTGGAGCCAGTTTGTGGCTGTCAGTGAGAGGAGAGGTAGATTCAATCAGAGACCACTGTTATTTACATGAACTTCTTTCTGTTCTCCAGGGTTTAGAATTGAAGGTTTGAATGAGTGTAGTGAAGAGATTATAAATTATTGGCAAATAAATCCATTTTCTTTTCCTGGAAAGTGTTTAATGAGATTCCTGTGGGCTGAGAAAGCTACAATAGGTCTGTATTATATATATATATATATATATATATATATATATATATATATATATATATATACACGTATGTATTATTATGGTGGAAGTCATTTATTTTCTAAGGTTTGAAATGGTCATTCTCAGATGAGATCTTCAGAATCTATTGTAAAAGATATATTTGGCTGAAATCCAGCCCTCCTCCCATCCCTAACTTGGAAATTGTGGAGCTCTTTAGCCACACACACATTCTTAGCATGTTTAAATGGAGTTTAGGGACTGTGTGGAGGAGAATGTAGATCTCGGACTAATGTGCTAGAAGTTGATTTGACTCAGTCCCAGGATCACTTCTGAAATGTATCCACAGAATTAAGTCACGGAGGGGGAATAGAAAAATAATGCAGTTGATCTATCACTAATTGAATTTTACAAGTTTCCTCCCGATATAAAATAGAGACTCTGTTGTGTGTGTCTTCTGAATTTTAAACACTGAGAACGTACTGATCTCACCATGTTGTCTTCATTCTTTAAATAAAATGCAAGTTGGTATCTTAATGCACCCTTTTCCCCTTGTAACTCAGCCTGGCCTCCAACTTGCTTTGTAGCTGAGGATGACCTCGAACTCCTGACCCTCCTAACCCTCCTACTTTCTTTAAAATTCTGGGGTTACAGGTATATGCATGATTTTTCAATGGAAAAAAACCGATGCATATTTTTGCATCTTTGCTGCACTGATAGCAAGTGGGGAAATGCTGTGCAATAATCCTTTGTTCACTGCGAAGATGCATAGCTATCATTGCGAAGAAAAAGCTCATTGACCAATGGCTAGGCAGGATTTTCAGGGCAGAGAGAATGCTGGGGAAAATAAGGACAGTCAGGAGAAACTATGGGACACAGAGCAATCAGGGTGGGAAGTATGCTACACAGTGCATGAGGTAACCAAACCTCGGGGGCTTCTTTGAAGTTGTAAGACCTATCTAAAAACAAGCCCAAGCTATTGGCCGAGCATTTCTAATCAATAGTAAGTCTCTGTGTGGGTATTTGGGTAGTGGCTGGCAGGACAGAAAAGTCCTCCTACATGTTCTTTTTATTACTCTTCATATTCAACTGCTGACAGCATTAGAAAAGCACTCTTCAGACTATTGTCTTTCCTTTTAGTGTGTGACCCTTAGGCCTTTATGCTTTCTTATCTAGTGAACTTGAGTGACAAGAAGGGGGGCGTGACGTGGACTGGACGATTCAGTGACTAACACACAATTCTCCTGGCATTTCTCGTTGCTTGCTGGCTGGTCCTCGATGTGCTCCCTGAGTGTTTGGGCCCCTGGCATTCCTCCCCCAACCCCCAATACCCTGTTCTTCTTGCACTGTGCTGCTTCTGTTCCTGTTTTGGGTCCTAACATTTTATTTTCTTTCCTTTTCACTTGCTTGGAAGTAATCTGGAATCTTCCTGTGGTTGATTGTGTATCTCTCTTGTTTTCAAGAATGTTTCAAAAATCTTTACAAGAGTTCTTTTTTTAGAAGTTATCTAATGATGGGTTTCAGGCTGACACCAGGAACTATGGTCAGGGGCTCTGAAGTCTGATGGTATAAATTCCTTGTAGGTTTCTGGGAGAAGATTGAGACGGTAGGGCAGAGATTCAGCAAGCGTCTCTGCGTGGATTTTGGTAGGAGCTTAGCTCTTTCCAGAAAGAAGAGTTTGGCTGACTTAAGGGGAAGGAAAAATGAAGGTGGGCTTTCACAAAAAGGGTAACTGTTCAGGAGTTTCATGAAATGGTGGAGGAGTTCATGCTTTAAAGCTCCTCAGTTGGCCAGTGATCATAGCAGCACTGAACTACTGGGATTCTCCCGGGCATTTGACCCTGGCCTACTTACAGTGCACACCCTGAGCAGGTCTGGATTGGACCTGCTACATTGGTTCCCGCTACATTTGTGAGATTTGTCAAGTCACACATCTCACTGTGTCTCAGTCTCTTCATCTGCAAAATGAAATGGTGAGGCTGTACGTGTTGTAGGCAGTTCTACCAGTATTGAATTAGGAGCCATAGAAACCGAAAAAGCAGTGTCTGACACTTAGTAGATGTGATATAAATATTAATATTATGGTAATCTTCAAAAGAATTTGAAAGAATAGTAGTAAATGAAGTGGGTTGAGGTGGTTGAGGTTTGTTGTTGTTGTTTTGGCTTGACATTCATGATTGTAACATGATAGTGGATACATTTTTCAGCTAAAATATTTCTAAGCATGGTTTTTATTGGCAGAGAAATTTAAAAAGGAATTTTGCCTTAAATATAATACTGTATTTAATTTGTAACCCATGACTATAGGAAAATAGTTTTCCCTCAACCAAAGAAACATTGTTCAACACTTCTCAACTGCCAGAATATAAAAACCTTACACAAATTGTTCAAAATAGAGCTGCATCTGAAATGTGGATTTTCATACACTTGCATTGATTTATTTTTATTTTTTGTAATCATATCATAAAGTTCATCTCAGGACCACACAGCTGAGTCCATAATGCAAATGCCTGTCATGTTTTAAAACTCTGCTTTATTTCATGATGTTGTATTTAAAACACTACTAATTAAGTATGCCTGTCTTTTCAAAATAAGAAGATGGTTCTTTCTAGAACCTGATGTGTGCTCATTGATAGGGATTGATACTATACTGGAAAGCAGCGGCTCGATTGGAGACTGTGTGGGGCCTTCCAAGAGACAGCTTTGAGATTTCTGAATTTATTAGCCTTTTAAAACGTGGCATTTGTGAGGATCACTTAACCTTTCCTTTCTTTTGATGATCTCTGTAATAGATATGATCATGATCACAGCCTCATTCTGCCCACTACAGGATGACGGACATGCCTAGGTGCTGCCAAGCTTTGAGCATTGCTGTCCTGGGTCAGATGAGGTCACATTGGCTCTGCAAAGGCTCTCTGCCCATCCTTTCATGTATATTGATGGTGGCCCTTGCTGTGTCTAGTACCCAGTGGTCTCCATTCTGTCGTAAGTGTAGTGCATCTTCCATCTTCGTACATCATCGACCGCTGCTTTTTTATTTTTTTTTTTTCTTTCACATTTCTTCTAGCATGTTCCTTCACTCTGCCATGGCTTTCTCTTTATTAGATGTCTGTTATCTTCTGGAGGTTGCCACCTCCTCTTCCCTTTACCTCCAAGTCATTTGTACTTCAAACCAAGCAAAAGTAATTTAGAAGGACTTTTCTACTATCTTTCAGTAATCACATTATGTACTTGTTTTACATTTGAAATTCAGTCTTGCTAGATGCTCTTATCTGTATTTACAGTTGCATTTTAGAAGAACTATTGATTTTTATTGCAACTGCCATTTTGATGGTAGTTTAAAAAAAAAAACTAGTAGATATGAACAAGCTTCTTTAGAAGGTGGTTTAGAGTCTTATACTTCCCTTCTCTAGATTAGCCAGTATTTTAAAACAATGACGTCCTAGAATTGTCTCTTAATTCTATTTATTAACTTTAGGATTTTTTTTTCTTTTTTTGTCTCTTTAAGATCCCTTTTTATACATAGCTTCTACCATTTAATCAGATGTTGTTACTTAGCCAGAAGATACATAATCTTGACATTACAACTACTTAATCAAAAGATAACATAAATGTGTTATGTGGTGTCTGTAGCCTATTAAATAATAGCTTTATATTTAGTGTAAAAGCAAAGAGACTCTGAAGAGTTCTGTTCTCCCCATTGTTAAACCCAATCAATGTTCAGCAAAAGTACCATGATTCAGAACTGGAGAGGATGCTACAAAATGTGTTCTTTCACGTGTGCATGTGTGTGCACGTTGTGTGCCTGCATGTATGTGCTCATGCATGTGTGAATCCATGTGTGTGCATCCATGTGTGTGCCTGAGTGCGTGTGTGTGTGTGCGTGTGTGTATATTTTAGGTTTGACTACTTTGAAAACAGCTCTTTTAGAAACTAGGGTTATGGAAACTATTTCACATTTGGCTTCAGTATTTCTTGGGTAGGAGTTGTGGCTCTTTTGATATCTCAGTGTGTCATTTTGGGAGATGTAGCCAATTAAGACACAGCGTAGCTGTCTAGTGTGGAACAGGAAGATACCCTCTGTATAGCATCCAGAAGGTGAGAGGTTGACTGAGCCCTAAACATTGGTATTTGAGTGAATTTTAGGACATACCTATTCACAATGTTATTTGTGAAAGTTAAGTATCTACTTCCAAGGAGAAAGATATTGAATTGATAACTGTAGGAATAATTTCAGTCCAACATGTAAAATAATATTCTTAAAGTTTAATATTTTGGGGTATATTTGCAAATGTAATCTTCTCCAGAGCTTTTGCTTTCTTAAAAGGTGTATGCTATTTTGTTAAGTGCCCCCCCCCCAAAAAAATCTCTTTAGTTCCTTTTTCATCATAGTTACTTATAAGGAACGAGTGTGTGTGTGTGTGTGTGTGTGTGTGTGTGTGTGTATTCTCTCACTAGTAATCATAATAAAGATAACCGGGGATAGCAATTCCTGCTTTTTTCCTCAAAATATGACAATGTTGTCTCAGCTTATAAGCAGGGCATCTCAAACCCGGAGAAGCCAAGTAGCTTGATACACAGAGTGAGTGGCAGCCAAAACTTTGACGTTTTCCCTCTGGATTCTAGTCCTATTTCTCTCTTTGTGCTGCCTAGAATGGGAAATTAGCATCTTTTATGTCTGTACTTTGGATAACAGCACCACCTTTCCTGTTATTTATAATAATACTTGGTTATTTACCAAAAGACAGTACTTAAACTACTGAACTTTCTTTAAACTGCTAGATGATAAAAACAAAAACAAAAAGAACCCATCTCTTGTAATGTAGGAACTAGTTCTTTATTTTTGGCTATAGACATTACAGATCTGTTGTTAGCCAACTAATTTTCCTTAAGTGAAAGCGATTTATCTGTGAAAAAGTCTTTGTTGTTTATTACATGTAAATGTGTTACCACTGTGTGGCATGCTACAACTGAATTTGACCACATTCCATCTCCTATGGAAATAGTTATTGTGGGACAGAAAGCAAGGGAGAATAACGTAGTTAACAATACTATAATACACCATAACACCATATAATTATTTCTAGCTTTCTTGAAGAACAAATACAATTCAATAAAAAAAAGGTGGGGGAGTATTTTGTTGTTATTACTGTTATTACTTACTTTACAAAATGAAAACGTATGGTCATAACACTTATTATGTAATTTTATATTTACGATAATGTTGTAAATTATGTAATGACTTACCCAAGTTGTTTTAAAATTATACTGTAAACTTTTAAAAGGAAATCTCTTGAAAAAATACTTAAAAGAAACATTGCAAAGATAGAACAGGGGTTTTCAATATACCCCTCACCCAATTATCATGCATTTTTTAAAAAAAATTAACTAGGGAAAATTAGTGTTCTGGCTCACTGATGATCTACGTACCATGCAAAGATTTGCATATATTTAAAAATGTTCATATCAAATGACTTAGCTGAAGGGACTGGCATTTGTCTTTTTAGTATTCTGTAGCTGCATAAATGGTAGGAAACTGGATGAAATTTTTCTTGTCTTAAACACAAGTAATATGATGATGTATTCTTTTAAAAAATTAGTCTGCTATTTGGTATTTCTTATATATATTTATATATACAAATTCAGCTGAAATTTACCATGCATTGATTACTAGAGTTTATAGAAGTTGAGTTGATTATTCTTTTCTGCAAGCCTTCTGAATTCTGATGTTGTAGTTCTTGCCTCTGGTTCCACCACTCAAGAGGAATAATTAGACCTCAAATACATAGGCTTGCATTGGAAATCCAATATGGAAGACTTATGTTGTATATTTATATTTTAGTTAGGGAAGACCATAGCGAAGTTTATTTTCAAAATGCATAAAAGTATTAAATGTTTGTAACCTTTGTATGACTGTTAAGTGTGAGAACTAGTTAGCTATAGAATGGAACTTAGTATTTGTATATTGCAATATAATCAGAGCTCTGTATAAATTATATTACCATATGATTGATTTTGCACTGCAAATTTGACTTTTGATAGGGAAGGCACCAACTATAATCTCCTTTCACAGCTCAAAGTCTACCTATAGAGAGCATCATCATGAGAAAGTTCCAGGAAGCCTGTTCCCAGACCTCATACTGTATGAAGTAAAGTTGCTTTGGAATTGAGCTTACGAGGAATTTGGACCAATGACCTTCTGCTTTCCTTGGGCTCTGATGACTAGCCTTGCTATTTTTGTGCATTTTCTTGACGTGAAACATTCAACCTTTTCAAATTGCGTTTTTGTAATGAAGCCAGGAAGAGGAGTTGCTTGCTTGGCTCGGTGTAAGGACAGGCAATTCTGATGGCACTCTCTTCTTCTCCACTCTTTTCCACCCCTATCATAGATGCACATCGGGAATTCCTTCACAGGCCTGCATCTGGATACGTGCCAGAGGAGATCTGGAAGAAAGCTGGTAAGAACTGTTTAGAAACACGAGTTTCGTGTTCTGGCAGCTGTGTGCAGCTGTGAATGCTGCCTTGTGAGGAATGACAAGAAAGGACTTCACTGCGAACAACAACAATAGCAAAAGCAAAGCAAAACAAAGTGAAAGCCACAAAACAAAACAAACTAAAAGAAAAAAAAAAAAACCCCTCATTAATATTCCTAAACCAAACCTGATTAAAACATGAAGTAGTTTTTTTTTTTTTTTTTTTTTTTTTTTTTTTTTCATAGCATCTGCTAGTGCCATCATAATTGAAAGGCTGGCAATATTTCCTTTATAACCCCTCCCCCTTTGTATCATCTGTAATGGCTTCAGACTGAAATTTTGGCACAGGAGGTCTTAGCTTGCATGCAGTTCTTCTTTGATGAGGAAAGAAATCCAGTATTCTAGGAATTAAATTACACACATCAGCATTTTTCTCTGCATTTTTAAATTGAACCAAATCTAGTGAACTTGTTAAGGAACTTCACAAGAATTATTATTTTTGATTACAGTCTAGTTTTAAAATCACTCTCCTGTGGTATTTAATAGTAAATCATCAGAGCTGAGTTACTTTTTCAGCTGAACAACAGAGTAGCTGGGCCTTAAATGTCTGCATACATCATTCATTTCCTTCATTATTATCTGTTGCTGTATATTCTGTGGTAAATTGGAAGCTTCCTGGGACCTCTGACTTGGTATTGGCCTTAAAGTTCAGAGCTGGCAGACTGCGGAGCATCAGCTAAGCATGAAACCTGTAAAAAACCTGAACAGGAGGTAAAAGATGAGCCCTCCACATGGGCTGAGGATGACACAGGTGATGGCTGCCTCTTTGAGCTGCTGAAATTTCAGCTGTTAAGACAGTTTTTCTTTGAGTTCCACAACTGAGAAGGTCTGGACCAATTCCAGCTACTGCCACACTGGCCCAAAGTTAGCCATGCTAAGTCTCAGTAGAGGGTCTCTGTTGTTATTATGACTTTTTTTCTGCACAAGATTTCTGTTTGGTATTGATTGAATTCAATTATTTGTAGTCCTTTACCACTTGCTGAATATTTGGCCACTTTTACTTTATCCACGTGTTTTATAAAATGTCTAAGAAGTACCACATTTTGTAAGAGTGATAACAACTTTCCCAAATCTGATACCATTTTAAGTTTCATAGCTGAGATTAAGAGTGAGGATATGCTCTCACGGGTCCTGTCCACATAGCAGATGGATCCACTGGTGACCTGTTGAAATGCAAGTGCTGGTACCTATTTCCTGTATTGTACCCTTGTGCTGATGGTCTCGGGATTCTCCCAAGCTGTCACTAACCACCTAGTGATTTCCAACCCCAGGAAGCTTCTGTGTCTTCTGTCTTTCCCTTTTTACTTTAAAATCCTCTTTTAAGCTGTCAATAAGAGGTACAGAGAACTGTCATTTGGGACAATAAAATCTGAGTTTCTATGTTAGGAAAAATGTCTTCCCCTTAGTTACCTGTCTTGAAGTTAAATCTTGATAGTTCCTTCAGAGAATTGGCTATGAGGTCTTGTGTAAACCAGATTTCTTCTACACGGTTCTCTGCTCATCCTTGTTGGGCTGCTAGTGAGCAAGAGCAGATTTCCTGAACACAGGGACTTTTCTAGAAAGCCCACATGAACTGTGAAGCATAAAGGAAGTCCTCCCGTGAGCAGCAAGCATTGCTGGCGAGTTCAGAAATCTACTTAGTATTTTCCACTTATTCAAAGTTGGGTTTTTTCTACTCCTTCAGTTTTCTTGTTTAATGCATGGAAGTCTATTGAATCCACCATTATTTTTTCTTCAGTCTGTTTTGTGTATGTCTGAACCCAGTCTTGTAGTTTAGCTCACAGGCCTTAGGAACAGAGGGAAACCAGTTTTGTTCCATGTGTCTATGCACCGCTGAAAAGGGAGTAAACTTGATCAGGAGAGTCTGGATTATTTTTAGATATATCTTTCATCCATATCTTTCTAAGATACGGTTCGGTTCGGTTGTAGTTGGGATGACGTTTGTCTTCCCATTGGTGTACCATTTACCACATAAGAACAGTTCAGACTCAGGTTCTATAGATGAATGCTAAAATATTAGATGTGGATGGGATGGCAGCTTTACCTTGATAACTCCATGAAGTGCTTGTAATATTTTCCTGGACAGACTTCTTTAAAAGCAGGTGAAGAATTCCCAGTGAGCGTTGTCAAAGTGTCCGGGATCTGAGAATACCAAAGGTAAAATGGGCCATCTACACTCAGCTTCCTACACTTCGAAAGAATTCTAAAGCTTAATTCTGTAAGAAAAATGAAAGCCAGACCAAGGCAATATGGTTCACACCTGTAGTCTCAATAGTTGGAAAACTATGTCAGGAGATGTAAGACTAGAACACCATATGCTACAGTATGTGACCCTGTGTCACAAAAACAAAACAAACCAAAAGCAACAGCAACAACAACCAAAGCCCTAAACCAATAAACAAACCTGCCTACCTTTTTGAAAGGATCAACTTGTAAAGCATGCCTTGGCCATGCTTTATACATACATACATACAATAATATCACATATTATTGTCAAGGCAAAAGATAACTAAGTAGAGTTTAAAATGTTTGAAAAATACTGATTGGGCACAACTCTCAAACTTTTATGCAATAAAATTATTGCATTGTCTTCACAGGAAATTGTAACTATAAAAGCAAAGACTTTTAATTGTGTTTTGTAGTTTTTATGACATTTTAGTTAGAAATTATTTTAAATTTGCATACAAATTTGAAAAAAATAGTAATCACAGTTCCTTACTACTTCTGTCCACTCCTCATGTTACTACATTTGTATATATTGTTCTTGTTCTCTCTCTCCCTCGTTTTGTCCGTCCCTCTGTTTCTCTTACACACACTCTCTCTGACACATACTCACACATGCGCTCTCACAACACACTCACTCAAACACCACACACACTCTCACATACACTCATACACACACAACACACATGAGAGGGGGGATCCAATGTATTCTGTATATTGATTGCTCCAGTGATAGTTTAACAACATTTTGATTCATATTTTTAAAAGATTGTGAATCCTAACAAACATTGAAGGCTGCATCCACTCTCTCTAAAAGTAGTATTTTTAAAAGTAAGAGGGAAGATAACAAGTGATCTCAAAAGTTACAAAGGATCCTTATAAAACAGGAGGGGGGAAAAAGTCAATCATAAAAGTAGCTTAAAATTGTGACTGAATGTTTTCTTCAGTATATTTCTTTTCAAAGGATCAGAGAATGTTTGCAGTTGGTAATAAATATTCAAGCACCTTGCAAATGTCCTACCAATTCTCTTTGCTGATCTGTATATGCCTGTGGGATTAGAATAGGAATGCATAATTTAAATATAAATTGCCTAATTTGCATATACAATTAGTCAAGCTACAGCTTTGATCCTAAGCAAAAATTATTGTCTTGTATTACCACTTAGATAGAATTTTAATTCACCTTGAATATTCAAACTAAATTAGGCCCTGGCTATATAGTTAGAAGGGCAGTACTTCCCTGGTGCCCTGAGTCATTTATGATAGGGTAATAAAGGCGGCTTTGGTAAGGAAGGTGCTCTGAGCTGTGTGCAATGCCCTGGTTCTATCCAGATTTTAAGTGCATACCTTGCAGGAGCTAACAGACAATTAACTTGGCTTAGTTAATATTTTCAATCAGGATCTGCCTTTTATAGTGTAGTGTGTGAAACTTAGACAGTAATTGCCAAAAAGTCCTTTAGGAATGACAGACTAGTTGACAAAGGCCAAAGAAGGCATGCTTGTGGGATGCAGGAAGGGCCTTCTGCTGACCTGCAGGTCATGCGCTGTAGAATCAACCACAGGAATTTAAGAACCCTGAGAGGACTTGCATCTCTTACACTTTTAATCTACAGTAAAACATTTTTATTAGGAATCTATGTTTTTAATGAAACAGAACATTTAATTAAGGTGCTTTTTAAGTGGGTGAAACAATTAAGTGCAAACACTTGAATGAAACATGTCATAATTAGTTTTAATAGAGTGTTAATTGGTAGTAGGTTTGCCAAGTTAATAATTACTGCTTATTAAATTTTCAATTAATCATTGTCATTTTGCTTTGAATAAAGATGAAAATTAGATAAACTAATTCAGGAGGAGGGTATCTTCCCTTGTTAATTAGAATAGTTATTTTTTTAAAACCTGGGAAGTACTTGTTTTAGTTGTCAATCTTCTGCTGTTCAGTGGTTAAATCTTTTCACCTCAACGTCAACCAAACTTAAGAGTTAATTCGACACCTTGTAGGTTTGATGTCAGGCCTGATTGTGTGGCTTGTGGTATGATTCAGTTTTGTTTGTCCAGTGTAACGGTTGGTTGGGCCAAACTACTGTATTTGTTTGTAGTAGACAGAGAACAGCTTATATACAGAAGCACACGTCTGTATTATTCAGGAAATGACAAGAGAAAATAAAACTGTAGCATCTGTCTCATTATTTCTTTCATTTAAAGGACCCTACCCTGTACCTCAGGCTGGTCTTGAAGTCCTAAATGATGTGATTATAGGCATTCACCGTGATGTCAGGCTAGAAAATGAGGTTCCTTGTGTGTCTGAACAACCTTTCCAAGATCCTTGTGGACATTCTTGCTCCTTAACAGGCCCCAGAGTCCTTTCTGAAGGCGCTAGTGTGGGAGAAAAGTTAAGTAAAAATGCATGCACTATAAGTATTCCTAAAAAGACCATGACCAAGAAAAAGTCTCACTTTTGAGTTCCTAAATAAATTTAAGTGTTGGAATTATTCTTGAGACAGGTGGAACTGCCCAGTCATTTGGATGAGAGCTGGGTTTCCTTTTGTGTTTGTGTGTAAAATTCTGTTAAGATGGGATAGGTGTTCCTAGTGCTCAGCTAACCCAGAGATGTTCTGTCCTTAAATCACAGAGGAGGCCGTGAACGAGGTGAAGCGACAGGCAATGACTGAGCTGCAGAAGGCAGTGTCTGAGGCAGAGAGGAAAGCCCATGACATGATCACCACAGAGCGAGCCAAGATGGAACGCACTGTGGCTGAGGCCAAGCGGCAGGCAGCAGAAGATGCTTTGGCAGTCATCAACCAGCAGGAAGACTCCAGCGAGGTAAGGCCTTTAGGGGAACATCAGCGGAGAAGAGCTAGAGCATTTGGTTTTTGTTCTGGAAGTCCACAAATGCCATTGGAGAATGGAAAAATACATTTGGAGACATAACTTGGAAAAACATGGAACACGGTGGGAAAATCCCAGCATTGGTGGTGGAACCTAGAGCAGATATAGCTTGGTTGTTTATTAGCCACTTGGATGAAAAGTTCTCTGACCAAGGTGTTGTGATGCATTTGGTAGATTAAACACTGAAAAAGTCGTCTTTTGATCTGTGCGTGTGTGAGATGTGTGAGTAACTGGGTATTTGCGTGCCATGATAAATGTCCTATAGACAAGGTAACCTTAGCTGTTATTCTCTGCTTTTGACTTTGTTTTAAACTGGGTCTCTTATTCTCCTCTGCACATAGTATTTTAGACTGTGAACTTGTGGGGTTTCTCCTGTTCCCATGTCCTATCTGCACAGTGGAGGGTTGTAATTAAAGATGTATGCACTGGACAGGGTGTACGTGGGTTCTAGAGGTTCAGGTCTTTACTTGTGGGAAACGTACGTTAACAACTGAGCTATCCTCCTATCTCCTAAAGGGAAATTTCTATGTTCTCCAAAGTTGTATTTAGAATTTCTTTAGTAAGGAATCCTAAAGTCCAATTCCAAAGGAATGTTTGCCTGAGATAAATGTTTCTAAAAGATCTTATGTGTGATATTTGTTTCCATATTGTCTATCATTAACCATTATGGCAGTCATAACGTAGCACTGCTATCTGAGTAATATTAGTAAGAATTATCCCAGTATGATGATTTCTACATATCCACACACTCACTCAGAACCTAATGATCCAAGGAACTGGCAAATAAAGAACTAAAATGTGACAGAATGCTTTAAAACATATAGCCTCTCAACAGCATCGGATTGTTCCATGTTAATTAATATAGCATACAATCTTCAGCTCCAGAATAACTCCAGATAAAAGACTGCAATTAGCTCGTCTCACAAAGCTGAGCCAGCGAAGGCATGGACTGATAAATCAATGGTCTACTACAACCCGTATCTATAATTTGTGAGGGAGAGTAAGAATTTAATTTGTAGCAGGCTTTTCTGCAGATGAAAGACCCCGCGGGAATCACTCAATGCCCAGAGTTTCTAGTTAATGTGGAGCAGATGAATAACAAGGGGACAAAAGGGATTGATTTTCAACGTTTGGAAGTTTCTCAGGAAGAGAGGGACAAAGGGAAGTTTATCTTCCTTTTAATGGCTGACTTTTCCATTGTTGTATTAAGCTAGACAGAAATTCAATTTTACTGGCATCACGCCATTAAGATTTATAAGGACTTTGTTTTCTTCTTTACATTTTTTTTAAAGTTTATTAACATCTACTGAAGAGAACTTGTACAAGTTGGTGATATTATGGGGAGCACTTATCACCTGGTGTACATTTTTATTTTCACATGAACATTTTAGGCCTGATGTGTGTATTTACAGTGTTTGTAGAGGGCTGACTCCTAAAGACAAATGCTTGGGAAGGAAATACGTTGATGTGCTTACTTCCAGGCAGTGGCATGCTAGATTCCTTCAGTTTCCATCCATATAGTGTCTTTACTATAAAACCATGTAGGAAGAAAACTATTATGGTGACAGTGGTTTTGGCATTATAAAACATGGTATATTAAACAGACCTTGAGTTCAGGTCTACAGTACTTCCCAGAGATCCTCTCAGAAACCTGAAGGGCTCTGCTTGCCTCAAGCTAGGACAGACTCATTCTGGCTCTCATGTTGATTGGCCCCTTAGGTAGGGAATCTGCCAGAAATATGAGGCCTAGCTAGCCAACTCAACACACAATTTCCTTACAACTCGTACCTGTTTTTGATGCTTCAGAATTTTCGTGGCTATTAACCATTTGACCACAAATAATGTTCCTATAGTATTGAGTCTTAGATAACTTATGACTTTTTAAAAATAAAAATACAAAGTCTGGTTATGGTAAAAGCTAGTTGGGCAATTTATGCGTTGTCGTAAAGTATAGCAGCTATTGATTTTTAAATCTCACAAATTAATAGGCCTTCGTTGTGTGACTATGAAAGGAAGTAACACACACACAACTTAACTATATCCCGTTTATTTATTTATTCTTATAATGAATCATTGAGCTTTTATTATACATAAGGGATAGAGCTGGCCCTGAGGATCCCACAGTCTTTGCCTCCTGGTGAGGCTCCTGGTGTGGAAGGGTTAATCAGGAGCTGGGTATTTTAACCCTTGTGGCCACTGCCTTTTCCTTGGGCCATAGTAATAGTCCCTGTAGAGGAGAAACCCCAAGGTGCTTGGGAGCAGTTTGTGGAAGCCGACATAGCTGGTGAGTGTTTTCCAGGGGGCAAGAGATTCCAGAACTGGAAGGAGGGATATGTCTGTTTGGGGTCAAGATGAGGAAGATGCTTGCAGTGGTATCGGGTTGGGCTGAGGGGTAAATTGAGACATGCTGGCTGCATCCTCATGAGATGAATTATCATGAGGGGGTTAGGATCTATCAGAAGATCAGATCTGAGCCACATTTAAAATGTTACTGAAGGGCTGGGGAAGTAGCTGAGTGGGTAGAGCTCTTACCTATGGGGTATGTATCCATGGGTTTGATTCCCCAGTGTCTCATCAAGCCCATCACAGTGGTGCGTGTAGTAATCTTAGCACTCTAGAATTATAGGCAGGAAGTTCACAAGTTCAAGGTCATCCTCCACTAAGTAGTAGTAAGTTTGAAGTCATCATGAGCCACATGTTTCGAAAATGATAACAACAAAGCAAAACAAAACAAAACTACTTGCTAGATTTGAACTATCCATGGTATTCGGGGGCGGGGGTGCAGAAAAGGTAACCCATGCTTGGGTTTTTTGTGCTGTGTATATACACAATATTAATTAAAACATTTAAAAACTCAAGTGAATTGTTAAATGTAGCTAGATAGACAAGTCTTTAGGCTGGAAAAAAATAAGCAGGATAGAAGCTTATGAAGTTCATCTTGTCCAATATGAAAATCAGGATTCTTCTCTGTTGAATAGGGTGTTGGGTGAGTAATGTAGAGACGCTATTTTCAGATACTTTTCGAGTACCCCACACTACTCTCAAACGTGTTTGTTCTGACTGCACAGTCATCTGCTCTTATAACTAGAGGGATCAAAGAAGAGCACCCAAAAGCCTCTTTAAAAAATGACCAAGTCAAATCTAATAGAAAACAAACATCATCACATTGAGGCTAGACAAGGCAACCAACAGAAGGAAGAAAGCCCAAGAGCAGGCGTGAGAATAGAGGTCCATTCGTTCACACACTCGGGAGTCCCATAAAAACACTACACTGAGAGCTCTACTATGTATGCAGAGGACGTGGTGCTGACCCACGCAGGCCCTGTGCTTGCTGCTTCAGTCTCTGAGTTCACGTCAGCTTTGCTCAGTGGATTCAAAGGGCCTTGTTCTCCGGGTGTCCTCTTCCCTCTGGCTCTTACATTCTTTCTGCCTCCTCTTCTGTGGGGTCCCCTGAGCTCTGAGGGGAGGGATTTGATGCAGACACCCCATTTAGAGATGTGTGTTCTGAGGACTTTCTCTAATGTCTGGCTGGGTTTCTCTGGATTTGTTCCCATCTGCTGCAGGAGGAAGCTTCCCTGATGATGGCTGAATAAGACACTGATCTATGAATAGAGTAGAATATTGTTACAAGTCATTTCTTGTTTCGTTTTTATTTTTGTTTTATTTTTTTACTTGTTTTGTTTTATTATATAGTCCCTGGTTCTTGGTTACCCAAGCAGTGTCCAGTGTGGGTTCAGTTTCGTGGGGTCAAACCAGACATTGCGGGGTTGGCTACTCCCGCAGGTTCTGTACCACCATTACCCTAGCATATCTTTTGGGCAGGACAGACTGAGGTTAACCGTTTGTGGTTGGGTTGGTGTTGTCTTTTCCTCTATGGTAGCCTACAGAGTACCTTCCTGTACCAGAGACCCTAGAGTGTGTGGGTGAAGAGCTGTTGAGCCAGCTGCAGCTCGAGGAGGACTTTGTGAGGCTTATTTACCTCTCCCTGATGAATGATTGGCTACTGATAATCTATGTATTTTTGCTCCCTTCTTACATTAGCTGCAACAGAGGGGACAGTGTTGTTTTCTTTCCTTTGCTGATAAGAAAGCTGAAGCTTAGTGGATGTAGGATACCTGTTCTATGGCTCAGATGGTACCTGTGAGCTGGTCCCCAGCCAAGTTCAGACCACCTTCCTGATAGCCACATAGCAATAGTGAGTTTCTTTCTCCTTGGACCAATTACATACTATATATTTATTTAACTTTAGATGTGTAAACTAATAACGTCACAACTATCAGAATGACATTGGACTGGGAAGAACCCAGATAACATATCTCCTTTTTCATGCCTACTTATTGTGTGTGTGTGTGTGTGTGTGTGTGTGTGTGTGTGTGTGTGTGCGTGTGTGTGTGCGATATCATGCAAGATGTCAGAGGATAACTTTTAGGAGTCAGTTCTCTTGATCTGCCTATGAGTCATGATGAATTCAGGCCATTAGGCTGGTGGTCAACTTTTATTGCCAGCTGCGCCATCTTGCTGACCCTATACATTAATGTTTTACAGACTATTATGTGTATTACTCAAGCTGTTACATTTCTTTCACATACCTAATTCCTATGTGTGTACACAAATAGTTCTTTCCAGCGAACGGGCAATACTGGGGGATATTTCTAATGAAACTTGTTCTATAGACTCCTTTTGATCCACCGTTTGTCTGAGCTTAGAAAGTTTTAGCGTGTATGGACTATACATATGGTACTGGTGTAGTAGAGAGATTAGTTTTATGTCACCAAAGTGGTTTCCCTTATAAATAAAGAGCCATTCCTCACTGTTATGTGTAGATGAAAGCTGTGGGATTATACCAAGAGGAGAAGACGGGGGCATCTGCGCAATAGAGCCCACACCATCCTGCGGTTCAGCGTTACTGCACAGGCTTCCTAGCCCTTCTGCGG